GGGGGGTGGGGGGTGGGGGTGTAGGGCATTGGGTGTGGGGTGCGTCGCCCTGCCGCCGCTCTGCATGTGAGCGGGGCCCGGGACGCGGGGCGCAAGAAGCGGGCAGCGGGGGGCGGGGAGCGGGGAGCGGGGCGGAGCCTATAGCAAGCAGGGGGCAATGGGAAATGGTCTTGACGTTCAGGTACAGGCGGGCGGCGCGGGTGCTGTTTGTGTAGTGCAGGGGCCCTGCCTCTGCTGTCGCCACCTCGCTTAGTGAGGGCGATGTCAAGGGGGCAACGGGAGGGGTGCGGGCCTCCCCTTTCCACAGCGCCGTCAAGCGTGTGGCCCCGCCCGCTCCCATCCCTGGCATGTCCCAGGGCATGGCTCACCAACTCGAAATAGCAACCTCATTCCAGCCAAAACCGCTGCTTCCCGCCCTGAACCTGTCCCTCTTCTCATCCGCCCTGACCCTGCCCCCCCCCTCCCCCCGCCTGGCCCAGGATTGCCCCCGGGCTCTGGTATGGCGCCGTGCTGCCGGTGCGGACCTACCTGATCACAAACTCGATGATGATCTTCATCTACGCCCTCCAGATCATGTGGTGAGCGGCCTCACATAATTCCATGGTGTTATCGCACAACTGCTGCCAAAACCCAGATCATGAATCCAGTTGCGCCTGTTGGGTTCCGGCACTCTGCCTGGTCCGTTTCTTGGAAGTTCCTCGCCACCGCCTTCACAGGGATCGACACATGCGTCATCCGAGGGGCATTTCTGTCTCAAACGCCTACCACAATCCCTCCCAAAGACGCCTGCTGTTCGTGGTCCGTCGTAAACCCTTGGCACATAAACCCTGTCACCCTGACCCCCCAGGTTCCGCAAGATCCTGAAGATCGCGGCCGGCCAGAAGAATGTGGACAGCCGCGTGACCGTGTACCACTCCACCCCCAGCGCCACGCCGCTGATCCTCTCCCCGCGGCCCTCCTACAAGGAGGGATGATCAGGGCTTTGCTGTCGGGTCGCGCGGCGTGTGCTGGACCCTCCTTTGTGCTGGCGACTGCTTTGTGCTGGCGACTCCTTCGCGCTGCGACCAGGCCGCTGCGGCGGCGGATGCCGACGCAGCTGCCCCTGTCGCCGCGGCTTTCTTCCTGAGCAGCAGTGCGCGCGAGCTGCCGCGCAGCTGCCCGGCTGCAGGTTCCGGTCGGAATCTCAACACGGCGGCCTCCTTGCCGGCCGCCGCCCCTGGTCGCGAGCCGCCCGCCGTCAGCCCGCGTCCGCCACGGGCCTGAGGAGCGGGAGAGGACCGGCCCGAGGGGTTGGACTTGGCGGTCGCACGGCCGCCCCGCCGGCGCTCGCCGCGCTCCCTCTGGAGGCGGCGCAAACGCCCGTGAATGGCCGCACGGCCGCCTGCAGCCCCCGTTCCCCTGGGCTGCGTTTCTGCTTCTGGATGGCACTTGGAGGGGTGCTTGTGGTACCCCCCCCCCCGCCTGCCGCTCGCCGGGCCGGCGCCTGCCCGGCTGCCACTCGGGCCAGGGCAGTTTGCAGGGGCAGCGCAGCCCAAAATTGCTTCCGCCCCCACATTTGGTCGCCAGGCGAGCGGCGGCGCCTGGGTGGCGAGGAGGGGGCGCCCGGGCGCGTTGCAGCCCTCTGTTGCTTTGCGCACGTGCGCCCCTCCCCGCCCCCGCTCCGCATCTTGCTGCCTGCATGGAACCGCCGCCCACTTGGGCGCCCGCACAAGCTTGCCGTGTCGTCGCGTGCTGTTGCTGTTGTTCCCTTCCCATTCGCGCGCCTGCTTCTCTTTCCCACCGCGGCCGCCACGACGGGCCGGGGGGGCGGCGGCCCCGCCAATCCAATCCGCCAAAGTCGTGGCAGGCGCGAGAGCTTGCACTTTACAGCCGCCCCAACGCGGCCGCCTTCGACGACCCCCGCCTCTTCTCCGGCTTCCCGCCTCTCCTGGCTTCCCGCCCTCACACTTTGGCGCCCTGCACGCGGGTTTGCATTTTTTGCGCGTCCGCCCCGCAAACCCTTTGCTTTGCGTGGCCAAACTTTGAGCGAGGGCGGCTGTTTGAATTCCCACGAGTCGTTGCATCAGCGCGTCTGGCGCACCCCTGGCGCGCTTTTTTGCAGCAGCGCACGCAGTGCGACGGCGCACGCCCCGGCCAACCGGCGACAAACGTGCTCGGTTCGAGAGCCCGCCCCTGCCGCCGCCGGCCGCCACCGCCGCCACGCCTGTTGTCTGCGCAAACCGTGACCCGCGCCTGCCTTGACCACCGCCCGGCCGCCCGCCCGCGCGTGCGCGTGCGGGCGGGCGTGCATTCGCTCTCCGACTTTTCGCTGCGAGGTGGCCGCCTCGCCGGGCCCGCCGGCGCGTGCAGAAACGACGACGCCGCCCACCCTGTGGCTGCTCCCAGGCGGCCCCCGCAATCACTGGGGCTCCCCGCCCGGGCCCTCTCAAACGCTGCGCAGTGCCCCTTCAAATGCCGCTTCCTCGCAATGATCTCTTGTAATCCGTTTGTGGTGCAGCTCAGACCTGCTGTGTTGGCAGAATACCGTATGGGATGCCAGGGTCGAGCAGCGGTGATGTTTCCAGCGGCAGCTTCCATTGCAACCTATCCTAAAAGAGGGGGAGCAAATAGAAGCAGGACGCAGAGTCCGGGAGCCCTCCGCAAGCCCCCACACGCGCTCAATCTGCGCCATGTTTCAGAGCGTTGCACGGCACACACATGGACACATCAAGAAGCAAGTGTCCCCAGTCGAGGGGCGCCGCGCTTCACCACTCTGACAGAGGCCGGGGCCTCTCGGCCCGCAGCTGCTGCGCTTGGCGCCTGGCTGATTTCAGGTGCACCGCGTGGGTGCCATCCGCGCCGCGGCTCGGCGATCAGGCGCCCCGGTACTTGAAGCACCGGTTGAGCGCAGCCCCAGCAGCGTGGCGCGGCGGCGCTGGTATTGGTGCGGCGCTGGTGTTGGTGCGGCGCTGGTGCTGGTGCGGTTGGCACCAGCACCAGGTGTGTCAACGGCTGCTGCGGTGCCCCATTCCGCTCGAGCGCCGGAAACACCAAATGCTTTGGACGGGGTGTGGGGCGGTTGCTCCCCACCCGTTCTGGCTCTCGTGGTGCGCAGGAGGCCGCCGTTGGCGGGCACCTTTTTGGTGTGTGCCCGCCTGGCTGCCCGCCTGGCGCGGTCTGCGGCTTGCTTGCCACGCAAAACCTGCTGAGACCATAACCATACCTCCTTAGCTATCCTGCCGCCTTGTAGAATCACGCACGGTAGCAAGCTCGCTCCCAGTCAGGGGGTATGCGACAGACAGATGTGTGCACGATTGGTGCCCAGGCACAGAGCAGGTACGGGCGCGACCGCGGGTTGTGGCGCGTGAACACCCTGAGCAGCACACCGGCTGGGCGAGCCTGCTGCGCAGCCCGCGGCAGTTGGCATAGGGGGTGAGCCTGAGGACACATGCGCAAGCCTTGATCGACCACGCACCCGCCCTCCTCCCTGTTCTTGGCTTGTAGCGTGAGCCGCCCTGGACTTGTGTCGCATCCCAGAGGTCATCCCAGAAATCTGTCCACAGATATCAACGCGACCCCTCCTCAAATTGTTACAGAGTTTTGTGGGCTCAGCTCAGCGGCCGCGACGGCACGCGGCCCTCACGCAGTGGGCACGGGTCCCAGCGGAATCAGGCCTGCCGTTCGCTGACAAATCATGACTCATGAAGCGAGATGGTATCTTTGTAGATGAGCCGTTTATACGCCTTGATTGATATGGTTCCCCGCCATCGACACATACACACGTCGCACCCATAACGTCTGTACCCATTCGGACGCGCCCCTTTCGCAAGTGGAAGGGGCGCAGTCACCACAACACACGATTGCCAACGCAATTAACCACAAAAAATCGTGAGTTTGTGCGCAGCACAGGCCTCGCCGTGACCCTCGCTCTCCACACGCCTGGTATGGCCGCCCAGACGAGCGCGGCCTCAACGCAAGGCACCCAAACGTGGCACCCAGCCCAGCCCACGCGCGCCCAAACGGGCGCCCCGCCGCCAACAAAAAGTGACGCGCGTCAGCAGGCGCCGGCGCTGCCCGGCTTCGAGCCCGCCGGCCGCTCGGAGCGCACACAGTCACCAGGCACCCCCGCTGGGGAGCATCTCAGCACCAAGGCCGAGGCCATGCACGCCGGCCGCCTCACTTCTTCTTGCCCTTGGCCTGCTGCTCTGCGCGCTTTGCGGCCTGGGACTTCTCCCACTGGCTCGCCCAGATGATGGGCTTGCGCTCCTCCTGTTAAGGTTATATTGAGGTTCCATCAGGGTTGAATAGGGAGACTTAGCAAATAGAGTGCAGGACATGGCAGGGGCAATGTTGTCATGAGGGGAGAGCGGTGGGATGCAAAGGTCGGCGGTGGCGGGTGTGGCATGATGAGCACACATGGTAGCGGGGCGCCGAGGGCGGCTGCCGCCGGCAGGGCGGCACAGCACAGCCGGCTGAGAAGGGCACGCTCCAGGGATGCTCTGTGCCCCCTCCCCCTC